CCTTTGGTGCTCGGACCCTAAATACAGCAGAGTAGGCCAGAGGAGACAAAGCAGTGCATGTGTTTGGGCTGCAAAAGAAATAGTTTCAGCTTCAACATTGTGATGAGCAACAGTCACACTGCAGGAAATACAATCTGAAGTCAAACATCTTTTTTTTTTTTTGCTGCTTGATGCAAAAAGTAAACTCAGTTTTCTTTGACCAATCTACAAATGTTAGTGTTTTAGGATACAGAGTTTGTTGACACACAGGTTGTACATGTGCACAGCAAAATGAGGGAGGAACACCAAAAAGGAAATGCACCAATGGCTGCAAGGAAATATTTCAGCTACAGAAAGGATGATGTTGCTCAAATACAGGTACACTGTCAGCAGTGTCTTGCAGCCACGCCACAATTCAACACCTCTAATTTGATGTTTAACTCAAAACCACAAAGCTCTGTATGATGTATGCAAAGCCAGATCTTACTAACAATTACTTTGGATGCCATTATCAGTGTCACACCACATTAAAACAAATTCCAAACTGTTTTTTCAGCTTTTAAAAAATGATTTTCATTTTCTATGTGGATGCACTCTCCTAGAAAATTACCCCAATCTTTCTGGAATGATTCATTCTTTTCAAATCAAGTTATTTAAGTCATCTGGTGAAAACAAACCCTGTATTTATTCCTATACAACAATGTTCACAGTTGCTCTCAGTGTGTAAATGGTTTATTCTACCTCTCAGCGTAGCGCAGCGTGGACAGAGACTCCTCGTAGCAGATATCAGCAGGACTCAGAGTGGCAATCTTTAAAATTAGCATCAGAAATTAAGAATAACTTTGTCACCCAACTAATATTTCTGGGAAGGTTTTAACTTCGTCTAAAACTACACCACCAGTTACCATGACAGTGCGACTGTTGCCTCCCAGTGCAGACTGCAGCAGCTTGGTGAGGACCGAGTCTCTGTAAGGAATATGGACCACCTTCTTCCCCACGGCCACATCGGCGAGAGCGCTGCAGGAGACACGAGGAGATGAATGTGGAAAACACAGACAAACCAAACAAACAAAACTAAACAGCAGGCCGACCTGATGACGTTGCCCAGTGTGGTGAGGCTCAGGTTGATGGCTGTGCCCTCTTTCAGTCTGTCAGCTTCTGAGCCTGACGACCGCTGACGCTCACTGCCGGCCAAGTCCACCAGGTTGATGTTGGACTGCTTCGTGGTGCTCTCTTTAGAGAAGATCTGACAGGAAGGGACAGCAACATGAACAAAGAGATTGTCTGAATTTATTGGTTTTTGATCCAACAACTTGAGAACACCCTGTTAGACTTAGAGGATGTTATGTGAGACAAACTGAAATCAAAATGCATTCTCAGACATTTTCTGTGGATTTTCATTGTCTAGACAAACTCTAGTTGGACAAAAAGTGCAGACAGAGCCACCTACCTGTTTGAGCTGGAGGATGATGAGCATGTGTGAGCGACTGCTGTTGGCGTTCATGTGAGTGGCAGCAGTGGTTCTGGTTCTGGTCCCCTGCTCCATCAACTGCTCCACCTGCAGGAACAGTTTGAAAGTCGTGTTTTTATGCTTCCATAGGCAGCAGAAACACATCTGTATGAAGTTATCCTGTATTCAAGGATTCAAATGACTGCATGACTACAAATCTAGCAGGAGACTTTGGCCAGCACTTTCTTCACAGTTGGTTGAAATAAGTGAGTTTGTTGAAGACTCTGGACTCATAAATGCAAAATGTGAGTCACCCTCTCCTTTGAGACAGAAGCTGTCTGTAGCATTTCGTGGCCTCTTTTCTTTCCGTCTCCATACCTGTGGTGCACTCTCACAGGGGACCGTACGGAGACCCTCCACATAGAAGCCTCGCTGCTGCTCCTCTCTGACTCTGAGTCCACCTGGAGCACGAGACCCCCGAGACAGCAGATCCGCCACCTGCACAGAGAGCAGAGAGAACCCAGGAAGTAAGACAAGTATGATGTACACAGAAGGAAACATTATTACAAACATTTTGTGAGCAACATTTGGAACAAAAACAACCTACCTGTTCATTATAGATTTCCAACATGCTGAAAAAAACCTGTGGAGGCACAAAGATCATTTCCATCACCAACCATCTGAACAAAGCGGTCTCTTTATGCTGTGTCTTTGTTGTTTTTTTTTTTACCTGACATTGTCTGTTTTCCTGGTTCTCTCTGATGGCCTGAAACAGCCGCTCGCACAGTTTAGGAACCAGACCTTTGTTCGGCCCGTAGCCCACCATCGAGTAACTCTTCCCTGAGCCGGTCTGTCCGTAGGCCAGTAATGTGGCGTTGTAACCCTGCAGGATTCATCATCAGGACGGTCTGAGCGTGATGACGTAACATGACTATCATATTAAATATACAGTCACATGTACCTGCAGTGCATTCTCCAGTATTCCTTCTCCCAGGTCCTGGAACACACTGTCCTGGGGATGGATGATATCACAGTATAACCCAGAGGTTCTGATCCATTCATACGTGTTCTGTCTGAACAATCTACAATCTAGATTTGTTATCGTATCCAACAGGAATTCTACATTTTCCTTTTACAGCATGAGGTGTTTGGCTGTAATCAGTGTGAAAATGCTTTGCCTGTTCTAGCGGGTGGCCTGGGAGCTGACCTGGTCAGCGTATCGTCCTCCCAGCTCCTCGGGCACGTAGAGGCCGCTGTGGCCTCTGGTGAAGCCGCTGTGGGACCAGTAGGCGTAATCGAAGCAGAAGGACCGTCGGTTCTGGGAGTCACGAGGGTCCTGGATGGTGATGGAGCTCGACGCCATGGAGACGACACAGCGGCTGCCTGCGTCCCTCTCCCTCTGAGTGCAGCAAGACATGACAGAGGAACACAAGGCTGTGGGAGGACTGGAGTTTAACACTGAGAGTCTGAGGGTTCAGTGCAAAGAGTAATTACTGTAAAATCCACATCCAGTCTAAAAGAACAAGTCAAGGAGACAGTCTGTTCATAGTCATCTGTTTACGAGGGAAGGGTTCTCTGAACAGAATTTAAATCTGAGTAAATCGGAGTAGGATTTTATTACATCAGAACTAGTTTTGAGTGCACTGTGATCCCAGTCGAAGATGATTTAGAAACTTAAAGCCTCTGGTGCACTAAACAGGAAAACAGGACACCGCTTTGTTCAGCAAACTTTTGAAAAGAAAAGAAAAATAGAGCAAAACTAATAATATACACTGACAAATTCTGAATTTTTTTGGGAAATAACTTTTTTAGAAATTTAATTTCTTTGTTGAAAAATACACATCAGATATAACTTCTTACGATTTAGTTTAATTCTGCCCGTCCAAAGTACAGTTTTAGTTTTGAATAAGCTTTGCACTTTGGTGGGACTCAAAGTGAAAGAACGTTTTTTAAAAAAAGCCTTGCCTGTGGTTTTTTTTGAGTGTATACATACACCAGCTGATATAGTGTATATAAATGTACATGAAGTCAAACAATGTTGTGTTTAGAGTTTACATTTAGATCACTAAACCAGTGAGAGCTATGTGGCCCTAGACTCGAGGTAATATTTACTGCAGTGCAGATGACATTGATAATGACGTGATTATTACTAACAATGAATCTATTTTTATGTCAATTTCAACTTTTAAGCTATTAGGGTCTAAAAATGTATACAGTCTGTATTGTAGAGATGGGTGACAAATTAAAGGAAAAACCACCATGAAAGTCTCATAAGGTGGTGAGCCACCCTCCATCACCAGAACGGCTTCAGTGCTCCTTGGAATTGATTCTTTAAGTCTCCAAGAGTCTCTGCTGGAGGGATGCAACACCATTTTTTCAAATGCTATTCCATTACTTGGTGTTTTGATGGTGGTGTTGAAGAGGACTGTATCAAGTCAGTCCAAAATAACGGGTGTTATTTTGAGATCTGGTGACTGTGAAGGTCTTTAAACCATCCAGTGACTCCGCATACTCTGAGGATACAAGTGTTTAATCACTCAGAAATACTTTGATAGTGATCCTTCCCTCTAAGGAGACCACGACAACAAAATGACAACATAACACTATGTCCTGGGCATCTATCTATCTATCTATCTATCTATCTATCTATCTATCTATCTATCTATCTATCTATCTATCTATCACATTGTAACACACGTACATTTGGAAAACAGAGAAGTTTCATAAAATAAGACGTGGACAACAGCTTTCAGAAGCAACATCTCGTATATTCTGTAAAACAGCAGCACACTGACCTTGTTGAACGGTCGCACTCTGACGGCCACTTTGACACAGTCCTTGCCGTGCATGTCTGAGGCTTTAGCCCTCATGCTGCTGCAGCAGGCAGGCAGCAGGCAGGCAGACTGAGTGATCTGCTCCCTCACACAGAGCAACGCAACGCTGTGTCGAGTTACACGTCGACATGGACACAATCAGGCCAGTACAACAGGGACGCTGGTGTACAACCGATGGGAAGTGAGGTCTGACTGGAAACGAAGGTGAATGATGGTCTAGTTTGCTTGTTGGAAGATGGATGCAACTTTAAACAGGTGTGTCCAAAGAGGAGTCTGTTGGAGACACCGTTACACACTAGAATTAAATACTGCTCTACAGAATGACTAATTCACTAGAAGTAAGAATCATTTAATAAGTGAGGAAATAGGGTGCTTGTAATTTGCTTCTTTCATCCCCTCGTCTTTGTTGGGAAAGTGGAGCCTGGTTTCACTTTCACCTTGTCTGCACCCATAAATTATGGAAGACCGAGTGCTTGGAGTCATATTTATACTGGACGTTTACATTTCTATCAACATTTCAGTGAGTCTCTCTGAAATCAAACCACTAAAGTGCTGCTGTTAACTAGAAGTAGAAAACACTGCATGTCTGGTATCTGAGGCTCAGACAGGATAAGGTCTGAGCTCTTTGTGAAGAATAATTAGAGGCTTGTAGGTCTGCTCGACTGCAGACGTTTCATCCGCCAACACTCACCACGCCGACACATGCACTTATTGAGACAATCACTCAACGCAAGAAGTATTCAAGCTTTGCCATATTTATCAAAGAGCAGTCATCAAAAATAAGACATTCTACATACATTCATCAGAAAATAACCTTTGTGTCAGATGGTGGTTGCCATAAATTTAATTAAACAAGCCTATTAACACGTCCCGAATCAGGTTTAACACAACCGCTGTGCAAGTTCTTTTTCTTTCACAATATACAACATTTTCATGACATACAGCAACAGTCCAAATCTGCTAATAACAGTGTTGTCTTTCACACAAGCCTCCCCCCCTCCTCCCCAAAGTCAAGTTTAATTTTAAGACTATGGCATAGGCAGTCTGATTAGATGATCCAATGTATCCGAGAGACACTTAAAAAGTCAAAATCAACATTACTCTTTAGGATTTATTTATTAACTTTATTTGGAACATAGCAAAAGACTATATACAAATTTAGCAGTAGAAATATATCTCCACTGGATTGGTTTGCTTTTCTTCTTAAATAGAAAAAACAGCAGGCCTTGAAATTTTAAAAGTAAACAACAACACAAAAAAAAAACAAAAAAACAAAAAACCCAAAATTAAAATAAAAGGAGAATGTAAATAAAAACCTCTTGATCAGAGGCGAGTTCAGTTTCGTCTCTCTGGTTTTTATTAACGGACGTTTCTACAAACCTCACTTTGATTTCCCTTGTGCCATTCTGTGCCCCAGAGAGCCAGGCCGAGGAACGTCGCAAAGAAATGTCCAACACAAAATGGCCACAGATACGATATCAAGTGAAATCATGTTAGTACGAGAGGGATATGTAAACTCCAAAAATATAGTCCTCTTTCTCACACTGCTACCCACCAGTGCGTTATGTCCCAAAAATATACTTCTCTGCCTTCGCTGCTTCTATTTTATTTTCCTACAGGGGAGTCAATATACAAACCGCAGCGCTGTGAGGCATTTAAGGAAACAGAACCATCGTGAGATTAGGCATACGTTTATATTTGACAGCTCGTGACTGAGTCGGTTCGGATCTTCAGGTGGCTGTCTTGAGGTTCACTGGTTAACACCTCCGCCTCCTTACAGTTTCTTCCTCCGGGTGACGGGCTTTGTGAAAACCGTGTCCATTACGCGTTTGCGGCGAAGGTTCCTGCTGGTGGTCGGCACCTCTCTGTCCTTAGTCCTCCTCTGTGGTCGAGGCAGCGGATCAGCCGGGCTGGGCAGAGGCGAGAGCAGGTCTGCCTCTGCTATGGGGAGCGGCTCCGGAACAGGTTTTGATCTGAAGAGAAAAAGAAAAAAGAAAAGATGATCATGGGTGCATGAGTTAATTGTAAAGACACCAACGTCATGCAAAATAAATCTTTTGGTGAATACTAAAACCTTAATTCATGTTAAAAAAAATGTGTAGCCATGTTTAAAACTCAGCAGTTCTAGTGTAGGAAGCATTTGTCTTACTTGGCTGCTCGTGTTTTTCTGGTTTTAACGCCGACGGCCGCTTTCTCCACTTCAACATGATCTTCTTCTGAAGCAATTTCATCCTGGAGAAATAAAACGGTGACGTTAAAGACAAAAAATCTTCTTTAAAGGATCCTCTATCATTTCTCCCTCCAAGTCAACAGGATAAATGAATAATAAAAAAAAACAAATGCACTGAAGAAAGCAGAATATTTAGATTGTGATTCTTTAAGACTCACTGACGGATTATAACGTTCTAAAAATGTTTCTGATTGAGGATTCGTTTCCTTTTAAAAATCAGCTTTGTGTACAGTTAGTAATGAAACTCAAATTTATGAGATTACATGTGTGAAGTTCTGACCGTCAGACTAAATATGTTCAGGGTAAAAACACAAGCCTCCACCACATTAGACGTGGGAGCCTTGCTCTTACCGGAGGAGCAACATCTTTGACTCTTCTTCTGCTGCTGCGAGTTACAGGTGCTGCAGGTTCTTCACTGGGGGCCGGAGACACTTCTCTACGGGCTGACACACACACACACACACACACACAGACAGACAACACAGGGTTAAACATAGCCTGGATAGATGGCTGGATGGTTCACTCTGAGCCAATCGATACTAGACTCACCTCTTGTTCTTCGTCGTGAGGGAGAGTAGATGAATGAATGCTCGCCTGGACTAGACTCATCGTCTCCAGGTTCAGGGACCAGGTCTTTCTCAGGAGGCAGAGACTGAGCCTCCTCTGCCGATGCCCTGGTGCTTCTCTTGCTGGTTCTCAACGTCTTTGTAACAGCTTCTCCACCTATATTAAAGAGGTTGCACTTTATTTAATGCATAAATCTAAAAGTCAATCTGCACATTACAGTTAAATCAACACAATAAAGAGTTTATATTTTATCTCTCAGTATGATTCTGGTCTCCTTCTGATCTGCTTCCTGGATTCTGACGTGGAATTAAAGCACAGACTTCACCGATTATAACAATCTTTCACTCACTCCCCCACAGTGTTACTTCAGGTTGACTATGGCTCTGTACATACCCTCCTGCTTCTGCTCCTCATCCTTCAGTCTTTTGATGAGGGCGTCTGCGACGGGGGTTTCGGAATCCACCTCCAACGGTGAGTCCAGCAGTGGAAGATCTTCCTCAGGGTGGTCCCAAAGTTTGCTTCTAGTTGGGCGACGGGAGTTGGTCTGACGAGCATTTCTGCTAAGTTCAGGCTCGAGTAGATCTTCGCCTTCTTTTCTGTTTTCAGTAAGTGTCTCTCCTCTGCTCTTCCTTACGCTCTGAGGAAGTGACACAGGAACCAGTTTGACCTGGGAGTGTTAAATGTCATTAATGAACGGTGGATGGTTCAGGGTTTCGACATGCACTATGAAACAATGTATAGGGCATGCATGAAAATAAGGAATGAAAATAAAAAGTAAAGGTAAAAACAAATCATTTTATGGAATGTTATGTCTTATCATCATCAAGTGCCAACATCAGATGATGGTGAACAAGAGAATCTATGAACCTTTTCAATCTTGGTGGTAAAGAAACTGAAGGTTCTGTTATCTACAGCAACTGTTATCCAATCTGATGTCAGCATTTTTAAACAAAGAAAACTTTAAAATCCTTACTTGTGGATATATATTTAGGTTAATCCGGTTGGACAGTCGAGTTGTCCTGCCAGGGCTGGAAAGTTGCTTCTTCTCCTGCAGCTGAGCTGGCAGGACCTCTGATGGTGCCGTCTTTGTCTTTCTGGGACTGCGTTTCACAGGGGAGGTGAAGACCTCGTTCTCCTCTTCTTTCAAGATCTCAAGCTGTGTTGTCACCACCTCACTGCTACTCAGTATCCTTCGGCTGGACCTTCTCGGGGTGTTGACTTGAGTGGTCCTGCGTTTGGACGGGGTGGGAGTCTTGGAGGTTGTTTGTCGACCAATATTTTTATCCGAGACCTCCTCCTCTTGGTCTTCCTCCTCTTTGATTTCATCCTCTGCAGACGCCTCCTCGGCCCCCCTTCGGGTCCTCTGGCTGGTCCTTGTTGCTGCTCCCCTCTGGGAGCGTCTGGCTGGAGAAGAGGCCTTGGAAGTTGATGCGACTGACGTATCATTGTCCATGGCCTCCACCTCTTCAGCCTCATCTGTAGGAGGGTCCGGCTGAGAATTGCGCGTACTTCTTCGAGGTGTGCTGGCGTGGACTTTGGTTTCTTTGACCAGTTTACCTTTTCTAAGCGTACGACTGGGCGATGCAGGGAGCAGAGTGCTTGTTTCCTTTACATCTACATCCTCCTCTGGCTCCTCTGCTTCCTCTGGTAGGGGAGAGATAAACGTAACTGTCCTCCTCCCTCTTGTTGTCCTCTGCGTTGGGGTGGAAGGAGCCTTCTTCCTCTGGGAGGTGGGGGTCTCTGGTACAGGTTGTTCTTCTGGCTGGCTATTTGAGCTCAAATCCTGCTTCACTGGAGTGTCTTTATCTTTCTTATATCTCCTTGGTCTTACCCTTACCTTGTGTTCTTCCTCTGTCTCAGTTTCTTCGCTGCTTTCTTCCTTTTCTGCCTCTTCAGCTGGTTGGAGGTCCTCCAGCTGCTCCTCCACAGCAGGCTCCGGCTCTGCGACGGGGGAAATATCTGTGTCTATATTAACAGGGCCGTTCTCCTCCGGCTCCTCCGGCTCCTCCAGCTCCTCCTTCTCCTCCTTCTGCTGCTGCTGCGGTTGCTGCGGCTGCTCTTTCTCCTCTTTCCCCTCCGGCTCCTCCGGCTCCTCCGGCTGCTCAGCAGGTGTTGGTTTGTCCTCCTCTATCATGTCCTCATCAGCAGGTTGAGTATTTGCCACAGAGTCTTTTTCATCCACCGCCATTGGGAGTTCTTCCTCTGCAGTTGTTTCAGAGACTGAAAAAGCAGCAGATTCATGATCCTCAGCTAACAGCACCAACTCTGCATCCTTCTGCTCCTCAGCATCATCTCCGTCCTGCTTTGCTGCAGTGTAATCAGTCTGTAGGTCAGTTTTGAGTTTCACAAGTTCTGATTCCTGTGGTTCATCAATATAATTTCCATCCAAGCTGTCCACCTCTTTGCCATTGTCTTCTTGTGGGGCTTCTTCAGACTGGAGATCATCCTGGTCATCTGTGCCCAAAAGAATAATCTCAGGTTTGACCAAAAACTCGTCAACAGCATCCACCACTGGAGAGTGAGCAGAAGGGTCAGAGGATGGCAGATCATTCTCAACGGGTAGCGAGCCTGCGTCTCTATCGCTGTCCTCGTCCATATGTAGCATCAGAGAGAAGTGAGGTTCAGACTGCGGGTCATCGGTCTCTACGGTTTGCTGGAGCTCAGGAAGATCCAGCTCAGCGCTATCGACCAGACCGTGTTGTCCCTCGACAAGCTCCAGGGGTACCAGGAGGGTGGTAGAAGGCTTGAGCTCCATGTATGATGATCCTTGCTCTACAGCTTCATCTGGATCCATCCCTCCGTCATCCGCCCCGAGCCTCACCATCACCACCTCACCCTCGATGTCCTCCTCTACCATCTGTAAAGACACAAACACACACAATGTGCATTTGTTTTGCAAAATGTTAGTCATTTAAACTATAAAATATTGATGGCGTAATAACGTAATGGTCTTGTTTGTCTTGTTTATTCAATTTACAAAACAATATGGAAAAAAAAGAGAGAGAAAATGAGCATCGTACAGAAGTTGGAACAAAGAACGCTTAAAATTTGTATTTGATTGTTGACTTAAATCTGTGTTTGTTTAAATTATTACAATAGTCTGTCATTCACTTCCATTAATCTAGTAATTATTGAAGGGACTAATTGCTCCAGGTCTACATTTGTTACCTTCATGTCTGCACCGGGTGTGATCAGAGAGAACTCAGCAGCCTCCTGCTCTGACAGCGTTGGCAGGAAGTGTGTGTGTTCCTCCTGCATGAAAACTGAACTGGGCTGGAGGGGCGGCAACCTCCCGTTACCCTGGACCTCCTCAATGATCTCCACCTCACTACCAGAGTCCTCTTCTTCTTCCTCCTCATCCTCTTCTTCTTCTTCCTCCTCCTCTTCTTCATCCTCCTCCTCCTCATCATCATCCTCCTCCTCCTCCTCTTCCTCAGATGCAGGGCTAGAAAGCTCTTCACTATCGTTGACACTCACAACAGCTACAAGAAACAAAGCACAAACAGAAAAGTGAGAAAATTCATGTGAGTGAAATAGTGCCGTAGCATTAATAGCACCACTGTTAACGTCCATGTGTGTAGAATCTTCCTCACAGTGGGAGTCGGTGCCAGTTGGCTCGGAGGACGTCACAGACGCTGTAGATTTTTGGGTGGTGAGCACCGGGGGAGCTTCAGCAGCAGCCGGCTCCTTTTCTTCAGCCTCATCTAATGACTCACTGAGAGAAAGTGAGAATGAAAGCTATTTTTAACTTGTCAGTTTACAGTGAGCTACACAACATCTTTACCGCTGAAACAGCTCATATTTGTAGCACTACAATGTATTGGTGACTCACTGATAAATGAAGCCTATTACCATCAAACCATCAAGATAATTTCCACACCTTAAAAGCATTCATGTTTAAGAACCATAAGTCCTGGGTAAACTATGGCCATACCTCGGAAACTAAACCAACAACAACTAAATCCCTGTCCACAAAGTGAAGGTAAACTCTGTCCTAAAAAAGGGTTCTGGGTTTTCGGAAATGTTCCTGTGGTCATTTTGTTGATTTGTTGTTTCAACTATGAGACAATAAACAACATATCTGGTGTGTTTAGTGCTACAATTCAACTGATCTCTATTATTTTCTACACTTGAGAGATGTGGGCAAACATGAATTTTAAAGAATGCACATTTAGCAATGTGGTGCTACAGCAAAGACTTTGTTTTGTTTTTCGCAAACAGTGAATAGCACATACCTGTTGATGGAAGTCTGGATCTGTGATGCATTGTGGATTGCAGAACGGGTAAGTGGAGGAGACGAATCGGTACCAAACAGGTGTCGCTGAACGAACTCTGTCAGATCTGATGGATAATGCAAAACACCGTATGGTCATAACGGTCATAACCAGGATCAGTACCATGTCAGTGTCCACTAACATGCATTCAAATGTGTTATTCCAAGTAACACAAATCAGGAAACAAAAGTACTTTAGATAATACAGAAGAGCGAAGATCCTTGCACGAAATAAAGTTGTCATATTCTGTCTGATAAAAATAATGTCTAAAGCTTCACTAGTGAGCATTCTAGTTTTTTGTAGCTCTAACTCACTTGGTTTTACCATCTCCTCACAGCATTGTGTACAAATTTAATCACCTCAGTCATTTAATATGAGGTCGTTCTATGTTGTAAAAATGAGAGGACAAACCTGTCGACTGCTCCACATCCTCTGCTGGTTCATTTCCAGTTTCAGTAGCTCCAGATGGTTCAGTTTGCTCAGTCAACTCTGGGAATTCACTGGGCTCTGTTTGGATATCCTGTGCTTCAGTTTTCACAGGAAGATCCTGAGATTCCACTTCAGCACCAGAGTCGGAGCTCTCAGTCACCTGGTTACCGACTAGCAGCAAACAAAATGAGCCAAGGGATGTTTTAGAGAGGTGTGGCGAAACACAAATCATTTCCAACAGCTTTTATTCCTGAAATAAAGCTACAGAGCAAAGCACATGCCGTTGTATTTTGGTGCTGAGTGGCTCTGGTGTGAAGAAAGCCCCCGTGTATAAAAAACTGTAGAGAAATAAATAGCGCTAAATTCTCAAAATGAATTACCTTGATCGTGAGCAGAAGTCTCCTCTTGGTCAAGAGTTGCAACATCATCTTGTTTGCTATCTGACTCAATGTCCTCTTCATCCTCCTGTGGAGACTGAACTTCCTCGTCCTCATTTCTAGACGCCTGTTCAAGACCTGTCTCCATTACATCTTCATACGTCTCCTCGTCCACCTCCTCCTCTCCGTCCTCCACCTCCTCTTCTTCCTTCTCAGTGTCCTCGGGTGTGATGAGGGTTTGCTCAGTGATTAGTTTATCCTCTTCAGTCTCTTGAACGTCTACTGTCTCTATCTCATAAATCTTCTTTGTAGCTCCATCCTCTCCTTGCTGGTCCTGTGACACAGGGGCATCGTAGTATTCCAGAGTGGTGTCTGTTGACCGAACAGATACCTGACTGGTGTCAAAGCTCAGACTAAGTCGTGCTTGCGTTGCCTCTGACGGTTTTGTTTCTACAGCGACTTCATGGATGGAAGATGATTCGCTCTCAGAGTTTCTCAGCTGCGGTGAGGGAACACCACCTTCTGGAGGTAAGAACTTTACATGAGGTTGTTCTCCTTCCTCGTCTCCATCTTCTTCCTCCTCAGCAGGCTGTGAGGACCAGGATTTACGTGTAGCCTTGGACAGTAGGCTGCCTCTGGTCAGCAGGCTAATCTCACTGTCTGCTGCCATCTACAGAGGAAAAAAGGTCCAAAGAGAAAATCAAACTCACCAACTTAAGAAAATGATGAGAAAGAGGAAAGTGCCTTTGTGTAGTTTATTGCACCTTTGTGCATAAAATGTAATATAATAACAGTGGTACTCCTAAAAGAACCAAAGAATCAAACAGTAACTCCATGTCTGTTAAGATACCAGGTTATAAACCAACTAATTAGCTTCAACTTCATAAAAATGTGATACTGAAAGAGACGGATTGTTTTGTTTGTGTTGGTTACAGAGAGCCAACACACTTCCCTTCCTTGTGCTCTGTCTTACCCCATTAGTCCATCGGATGCCCTTCTCCGTTTCAGGGGATTCTGCCTCTTCGATGAAGGTGATCCGGCTCTCTTTGCTGCGGAGTGGAGGGGTGATGGAGCGTCCTGGAGAAGCTGAAGGCGTGGCAACGGGTGTCGGCCTCAGGCTGCTGCGCAGGATGGACTGGGGAGTGAAGGCTGAGAACACAGGGCCAGAAGCAGCCAAAGCCCGAGCTCGCTGAAGGGAACAAGCACACCACAAGTATAAATAACAAAATACTACAGTATGTTTACTACAATGAATTCTACATTTGCATTCCCACCTTGACAACCTGTGGTGTTTGCAGCAAACTGAGTTCAGGTGCTTTGCTGATGCTCTTTGGAGAAACCCAGGAGCTGGGAGGTCTGGCAGGGCTGAGAAGAGGCTGAGGGGTCTGACAGGAGGGATGAACCACCAAGTCCATGAGCCTGGGGCACAGAGAGCAGGTGGAGTGAATATAAAGCACACACACAACTTTAAGATGCTGTTTTAATAAAGCTTAATATTTTGCATAACATTCAAGTTCATATGTGTGTATATATAGATAAGTGTTTAAATAAGTGTAATAATACTGTAACAATATTTACATGCTTGATTTTGAAAGTCAAATATTTCATTAATCATACCTCTGAATATTGTACTACTGTTTGTTGCTGTGTGGTTTCTCAAAACATACTTTCGCTGTATGCTTCACATTCACTGGAGCTCTTGTGACTCTACCTTGACTTTCGTTTGGAGGTCATGCTGATAGGAGTTCCTAGGAAGGGCTCAGGAAGGGCCAGAGAGGAAGGCCTGGGGCTGAGACTCTGAGCATCAGCTGTCCTGGGACTGCAGGAGACAAATGGGAAGAAAATTGGGGGAAAAATTAAAGGGCAGTACTATAAGTTGCTAACCTTGAGATGCAAGTATTTCCTGCTCACCTCTTGGATGGGGAGGACTGAGGTGTAGCGCCTTTGCCTAACCACACCTCCTCAATCTTGGTCAGGACATTGTTGATAAATCCAGCCCTGGACATCACCTTGTCATTAGCAGAACGCTTGGTGATAGTGGACAGCGGCTGCGGGCGAGAAACTGGAGCAGAGTGTGCAAAGATGTTGGTTATATTTGACAAACGTATTTAAGTTGTGGTTATTCTTTAAATGTTTTTGATACGTCGCTGTGAAAACATTTTTCCACTGAAGCGACGTGTTACAGAGATGTAGTGAAATCTGTGCGCCTCCTTACCTTCTCTGTGGACTGTGTAGGAATGTTGGTAGGGCTTGGCTCTCTCCATTGCCAGTTTCCTCTGAACTCTGGGCAAAACTTTGCCATACTGATCCAGTATGGAATTCCTGGTGTTGGATCGTTCTTTAAGCTTCGGGTCTCGCTCATTCTAGGAACAAAGCACCAAGAGATTGGAGAAGATAGCCCCGTGGATGTTGTGATTCACAGCTTCAATGCCAAAACTTCTGAATACTGTCATCCTAAATACCACATATACCAAAATAATTATGTTGTTTTGTTTTCTTTGGCATAATTGTGTTTGTCAAACATACCACCAAGTTCATTTTGAGGCTGTGGTTGAGCTGCAGGGCGGGAATGTAGTTGGCCTGCTGCAGGTAATGAACCATCAGTAGTTCTCTGTTCTGGAGACCCCCAGTACCCTGGAGAAACTTCTCCAAGCATTCCTGAAACACAAAACCAAGAACTATGGGTTTAAGCTTCGACTTAATATTCCAAAGATCTGAAAAAGAATTAATGTACAGCAGAATAAAAAATTACACAAGGTAAGGCAAATAAAATGGGATAAAATATTGAAAGAAAAACTATTTCATTGGCAATCTAACCATGCTTTCACATCAATCTCTCTACCTGTTCATTGAGGCCAAGAGGCAGTTTGAGCAGCTCCTTGATGAGGCCCAGCTCCTGGCAGCTCTCATACATGAATCCCAGCAGCTCACCCATGTTGAGACGATTAGAGTGCTGCCGTAATAAGCACCACGCTTCGATCAGACACCTGGAAGTTGAGCACATGTCGGGTTAATAAAAGCACAAGTTGCTAGTGATCTTTCACAAACAGTCCTCAGCTGTTGAACTTACCTGTTGTGCAGCAGTACAGACAGGCAAAGCTTAGCCTGGGACGTGGATGAAATCGGGGGCTTGGTAACGTGAAAGTATCGTAGCGCCACCGACTGCTGGCCCTGACACATCAGAGCCTGCAGGACGCGCTCATGCTGCCACTCGAAGTGACACTGAGACGCAGCTGGATGCAAGAGCAGCTCAAAGGAACTCTGGTGAGGACAAAGAAGATGACAATTGTTGAAAAACTTACATAAGGATAGTATTATCAATAGGCTATATGACATAAACAGTGTTTTCACCATAGGGACAATATGACACAAAGCATTTGTAAGCGTTTTTGCCTAAACGTTTTCTAAATGATTTGTACTTATTAAATGTGCCAAAGGTTCGTTTTGAATTTGGGAAGCACTGTTTTAAGTATTCTGCACCTGCTGCCTAGAACTCACTGCAGCACACGTTGAATCTAAAGGAACTTATCACCCTCGGATCTTTTAAAAACCCTATGAGAGATTTTGTATCAACTACATCTCGCACTTGTTGTTTCAGTGTAAATTCTTTATCTCGTTGCTTATATCTAGCATGTATTTTCGTAATGTTGTTACGTGTTGTTTGTTTTTAATTGTTGTAACTGTAATGTTTCTCAGGCTGCTGTCTTGGCGAGGCTTCCCTTAAAAACGGGGTCACTGTATCTCAACGGGACCGACCTGGTTAAGTAAATAAAAATAAACACTAAAGTCACTGTCAGTACAGACTGATACATTTGACTGATTGTCTATCTGATCTATGAGATGGTTAAATAATGGATGTGTAATAAGTAATCACCTGATGGTCGTGATGGTCCAGGAGCCAGAGGCCTTGCACTAGTTTGACCAGACCGATTGGGATGGCGAAAGCTGTGGGGAAAGATTCCACTGACGCTCCATCCTTATTGGGGAAGGAGTACATGACATCCAACAGCAGGTAAATAACCTGGAACAGTGGGTCAAGGATCATACAAGGCTGAAATGAATCTATGTCTGGGATGTTTAAGATTCTCTGTCATGTTAGGAACATCACATTTATTATCACTGAGGATCAAAGACTGTAAAATAACTGATCAAACATTTAAAAAGTAAAAGTAATTAATGTAATATTACAACTGAAGCTGTATAGTTTTGCAAATGGGTAGTGTGGGTTGAAGGATACAATTGCATGTTTGGCAGCTTCGTCAATGTTGTCCAGTAGATAGATGTCGAGCAAAGCCTGCAGATCAAGAATACGTAATTAATATCCAGTAATTCAAAATGATAAAAGTAAATTAAGTATCATGTACAGTACACTGACTGGTAAAAAAAGAAATGAAATAAAAAAATAGGAACTCCTTACATGCAGTGTAGGTGGTGGGTATTGCCCTGTTCCGCCCTCATCTCTTTTCCACAGGTTGGTCAAGCGTTCGCCACACTGGCCAACCAAACCGTCAATCATCAGACAGTCTGCACACCACTTGCCCCTGAAAAGACAACACAAGTCTGTCAGCATGAGATCAGCTTGGACCATCATCAAAGAAAATCTGCAACGACTGGGAAATCTTGGATGATGATTCTAACATCTTATAGGCTCGACGGCTGAATTACTGAAGTAATGAAGGCATTGTTTGTGAAGATCGTGGTCCTATGCAGGGCTACATTTGGAATACATGTATCACTGAATAGCTTTCACTACTCACTTGGCCAGCCTGGTCAGCTCCTCTCTGCGTATAGTGTAATAGTTGCTGATGACTGAGTGAGTGTAGAAAGGCCTAGAAATCTGGAGAGCATCTTCATCTGGTGGAGAGGACAGTTAGAAAGACAGAGGGGGGAAAAAATGAATAACATGATAATGAAAAGTTTGGCAACTGTTAGCACACTGTATGCTCTGATGATTTTGCAAGTTTCAAAAAATAGAAATAGATTTGGACTGGAAACTGCAAAGTTCAATGCCTCACTGATCTAATTAAGCAGATGTTATCTACAAGACAATGGCAGAATCATGGCATTTAGGCTTTCATTTCTAGATTGAGGGATTTTACTCAAGTAGCAAATATTTTTGGGTTAGCTCACTATACACTGAGGGTTTGGGCTTTTTGCTATTTTAATTAAGGATTCCTTCTGATTAATATCAGATGGCATTTGTGCCAGCATCACATTACCTGATCCCTCAGGGAGTAGGCCGGTACGGCAGAACCACAGGACCACCTGAGCGTACTTGGAAATCAAACTGGACACCACGTTTTTGTTCATCAGTCCTACAAGACCTATATGACAAAAAACGAGAGCTTGTTAAGGAGAACAAAAGGAAGCTAAAAACATTTATTAGGATGCTGCATTACAACTCACAGTGTATCACACCATAAAGCTATGAGGCACGAGATATGTGTTTAATGACATCAACACTTAAGGGAGTTAAACACAGTGTTTATATGCTGACTAAATCAGTTTCAACGACATCACAGGAAAGTATACACCTGTACATGTGACTGCAGCTGTGTGGACAAGGCACCTTTTTGAGTGAGCTCCTGGGCTTCACTGAGCAAACAGTGGAAGATGGCACTGAGGTTACTGAGCAGTCTCTGACTGTGCTGTAGCAGCTGCATGGTCTGAGGGTCTGTGAAGTTGGATGAGCTGTCAAACAGCGGTGCACCTAAGAAACAAACACACACATCTTAAATATATATTTAGAGAAAAACTTGCAAATAACAGCATAGAAAGGAGGAATTTCACATGAGGAGATATTATCAGTTAAGTTGTGAATAATGTATGATTTTGACAAAGGGACAGGGCCTTAATAAGGTTTAAATATAATGTACTGTTAAAGGTCTGAGTTGTCATAAGCCTGAATGAGACCACATAACAAATTATACTTTAAACAACGTTAAGAATCTTTGAGTAAGACTAAACCTAAAAAATGAAAACGTAAAACTAAAGATCCGGTAAAGCAGTGAGCATGTGCATCTTAACATACAGATGCCATCCAGTTCCTCCTTGGTCTGGACTACTTTGTTCCATGCCCAGTCCAGTATGTAGCGCAGGTTTAGTGCAGATCCTGGTTGTTCTGTTGAAGAATAGAATTTGAAGAATTAAGGTTGACTGCAAGGCAGGCAGCTGTGGCAAAGCTTGGCACAGATTTAGTAGAACATACACATAATTATGATATGTATGTATGAAAGAAAAAAAATCCACACCAAGTATTTACTGGCAAGTCTGCAATGAGTTTGTGTGAGCAGATAAAAAACTGATGACTATTCGAGCATGACTCCTTACCTTCTGCTGTCCACTGCTTGATACAGCCAGTGATCAGTCCCAAAGAACTGGTCTCCAACGCTGTTGACAAGATGGCATCAAGCTGCTCCTCCTGACAGCCAACATAAAGTTACAAATTAGTACGAAAACTTCAGAATAAATAGTTTACCTAATCTTGTGCAAAAGTAAAGATTTTCTTTAATGTGTATTAAAAGAGGGACTACAAAAGCTTTGAGGATGGTGACTTTGTAGGTAGCTCTAAAGGACATTCGTATCCGCCAAGTGTGTGCATGTACCTGAGAGAGGCTGGATGCCTGGGTGTCAGCCAGACGAGATGAGAGGAGGCCGGACATAAGGCAATGAGAGTAACTAGTGGAGATGATGTCACTGGAACAAGGAGCAGCTTTCTTCAAAAAACTCAGAGTCTGGTTTTAATGAAAAAACGAAGAGTTGATTAGTGTAAAACAAGCTTACTTTACATTTTATTGTTACATGTTGAATGCCCGTCTAAATGGTAAATATTGCCTTAATAAGCATCACGTCATCTTATGTTTCTTTAAATGGATAGATACACAAGGAATAGACTACATCCTGACAAAAGAAACACCAAGTTACATTTTTCTTTGCCTGTTCATACAGTTACAGACCCACTTCTTCTAATCATGTAGATTAAATGCCAAAAATGAATGACGAGGTTAAACATTCGTGATAGAAACATTCACAGAAACTTGCCTCTTTCTGATACCCAGAACAGGTTAAATGTACAATTCCAGAGTTGAGCAAGCAGGTAGCATCTGAAATACCAAAGGGAGAAAAAAAACAGTAAATTAACCTCATTTGTGATACTGTATTTCCACCAGAAACCTGTCCCTACTTGCACAACGAATACAGCAATCCAGACACACTACAGAAACACACAGGAAGAAACAGACCTGCAAGATAATTCAGTCTTACATTGTTTATAGTCTCTCTGTATCAAACCTACCAAAGTTATATGTAGTGGGGTTGAAGTATTGTTCTGGTGGGGGGCAGGTGAAGGGCATGCCCCTGCTCAGGCTGCGCTCGTGCACCACCACATCTAGGAGGACATGGGGAGACACCATCTGCACCACTGGATCCAGAGACCAAACTGCCAGGTAAGGACAATTCTGCAAAGACTCGCCCGTTCTGACAAAAAGAGACGAACGCACAAAAATACAGTGAGTGAATGAAATCAAGCAGCCGTGACAATAATTTAGGACAGAACAGGAAACGATGAGCACTTCATTAACTGCATCACTATGAATTACAAAAAATACTAACACCATTATTTGAAAGGACCTGCTGTATATACAAACTGCTTTAAATGTTATTCTTTACTTTGCAAACTCATTCTGAACTGATGATACATGTTCAGTCAAAATACTGTGAAAATGCATTAAAGAAATTTGGTAATTTCTTAAAAATGCATCTAAATCAAGACACCTCCTAATGAGTTACTAGATCCATCTCCATTGTACCTTAATGAGTCTGGCATTTGTGCATGGTACCAACGGTTGATGTCAAAAACCCCAACGTAGGTAGACGGAGTTCCCTGACCGTACGCCTTGACTTGCCAGCTGAAGATGGACAGGCTGGTGTCTGGAGATGCAACTGGAAACGGGAAGAAGTGTGGAAAGATAGAGTGGATGATGAAAGGTGTGGGGAATAGTCGAAGAGATTGTGAAAAGAAAAGCATGTAAAACCACAGAGACAACACAGACGCAGTAATCTTCAAACTAGCTTCCAACATTTTGCCATCTGCACCAGGAAGTCAGAGGAGCAGCAGGCTAACCTTCATTCATGCTGTCATCCCTGTCAGGATGGTGTCTGAACTTCTCGATGGTCTGGCAACTCAGCAGGCGGGTATTTGTGGTCTGGGCCCTGAGAGGGAAAGCTGTGCCACATAAATCCTGACTGTAACGTTCCTCACAGTACTCGAGACCCTGTGTGAGAGTACGACAAAAAGGGGAAAGAAGGTAAATGCAATGTACATTTCTTGGGATTTGCACTGTGATAGCGTTGTCATTTGAAATTAGCAGAGCAAATACTGTTTGTTCTGTATGCACTACAGACCTCATAGAGGATCTTCCCAGAAGCTAGACACTTTCTTTCACTGAAGGCCAGCTGAAGCAGGTGGAGGCTGACTGTATCTCCCTCACTGTGTGGGAGTAAAAGGAGGGAGAGGAAAAATAAGAACTAGGAGAAGAAAAACAACAACACATGCACACTTTGCCTGGAAGCAGTACGTCTAAGCAGCACTTCAAAAATCAGATAGTATGAATGTTTGTATTTAAACTACAACCGAGTAACGGGCAGGACTTACAGGTCCTGAGAGGACTGGACAGCCCAGAGGTAGCAGCAGTTCCTGGGGTCGTTTTCTGGTTCCTGGAAGGTGAAGGCATGCACAGGCACCCTGCCTCCCTCTAACTGTGAGTGGTATCTAAAAACAAACAACCAAACAGAAATCCACAATGTACCCATTAATGCAGCTCGTACAACTACAATGTTGTATGTTGCTGTGGGTTATACATTTCAAGAGTCATATACATTCTGCTCACGTCCCCATCCATGTCACTGACTTTCAGATACTTTAATTCATGAAAAATGAAATGGATTTTTACAGTCTTGTCAGCAGTAACACATTCACCTTGGGGAATACACAGCAGTGATACGATGTGATTGTGTTTCCAAGGAAAGGCTGAAACCCACACATTTCACACAATATTAAAGTCAGAGGAAATACAATGACTCACTCCTTCTTCAGAGCCTTCATGTTCCACAGCTGTAAGTATCCATCGGAAAATCCCACTGCCAGCTGGTTGGTCCTGGAGATGTACTGCAGAGCTGTGGCCCCAACTCCAGTGGGTCCATTCAGCTGGAGACAAAGATGTCGGCCCTGTCTGGTGCTCACCTCCCTGAGCCTGGGGATCTCTGCAGGAGATTTGGTGACCACCTGCAGGTCTGCAAATGGAGAGTCAACATAAAAAGATAGATGGTTTTAGAAAAACAGAGCAACATAAATGCTTATTAATAACCTACAATGGATCTAGAGGTGCTACTATATTTCCACAAAGCTTGAAACAACATGGTGGGAAGAACAGGGGAAACATGGTAAAAAGCCCTCCTCACCTGAAGCCTCGAGTTCACTTTGGCTGCAGGACAGATCATCCAGACAGAGGTCCACAAGCAGAACATGACCAAGATCTGTTACTACGGCAGCGATGCCAAAGAACCAGCGCAAACTCTGGTGGAGGTGCTGTGTGGAGGTGCTGGCTCCACCATAGCTCACCAACGGCTCAATAGCTGTGATCTAGATGAGAAAAGGGGTTGATAGAAAAGAAAGACCAAAATGTTCAGGTTGAGACAACGCTGATGAAATTATTTGACACTTATTGCAGTTTGTAAAAAATTGGCCCAATCTGAAGTGTTTTACAAAGTTGAGTGTAATTTTAAAAATGTGACTCTGGTGTGTCAGATTAGCTTTTGCTTCAGCATAATTTTTAATTTCTCACTCTCCATTGGAATACCTCCTGACAAAAGAAATCTGCTAATGTGAATCGACCAAAAACTAGCCAGGAAGAGAAATGCCTGAAGGGAAAACGTACAGCTGACAGCTAGCTGACAACAAAAAGTGTTTGCAGGCTGTGATTTATGGAGGTGTTACTACGAGCAGACAGAGTGCCTAAAGGTGTGAATGAGCTTCAGTATATTTTTTATTCATTATATCATTTCACTATATCCTAATTTTCTATCAGATTAAAAAAAATCTAATATTGCTGTAAATGTCAGTTGTTTTTATAAATGTATAATTAGATCATTTGGATTCAAGGCACATATTTATCGTTCTGTATTGGACACCTCTAGCAGTGAAGAGCAGACGACACAAAACTCACCCTGCCTGGAATAACCACAGCTTTGACCACCCTTGACAATCCCAAGTCGTACAGACACAGCACGCTGCCCTCTGTTTCTTCTAAGCCAACCAGCAATCCAGACCTAGTAAAAATGAGCCAGGAGAGGAGTTAACATTTGGTTTCTTCTCAGCACTGTCATTATTATATATTCATCAAACAAAATGTATAAAATGTCTTTCACTTATCACGCACTGCATGTTCAAACAGCTGTTGATATGTCATTGTAATCAGTAGATTTAAAAAAAAAAAACAAAGCTATACAGTGCCTACGATGAGACAGTGGACCAAAGCACTGACCGTTTTAGCCAGCTGAAGTCTCTGGCAGCAAGAACACTGGGTGGATGCTCCCCACCGCCGTTGAAGCAGTACGCAGACAGCCGTTCTCCTGTCACTGCATGGACAACCTCCAGATGGGGTCCACAGGCGAGCCAGGCCAAGCCGCCGCGACCTTCGTATGCAGACAAAGAAAATAAAAAAGGTGGGTCTTGATCTACAGTTCAGCTGAGTCAGGTTGTTTGGAAATCACACAGCTCATGAGCCAACAAAAGACCCCTCAGCAAGTCACACAACTCGAGCTGAAACGTTCCATCGTAATGACACAAGGAGTGATTTTAAAAATTTAAAACCTGTATTTTATTCAGTTGTGTTGCATTTTGTGATAAAGTGATTTTCTTATCTCCTTGTTGATTGGCAAGAGCTGGAGCACAGCAAGTGAGATGCACAGTTCACTGAAACATTTTTGGAAGTTTCAATGGAAAAACACAATTTAGTAAATCACAAATTAAAGGGTTAAAACAAAATCTGGCTAAACACAGCAGACCATGTAAAACAAACTATGTAAGTGTAAATGTGTACATGAGTCCGGTCCAAAGTTGTTGAGCATTGCTGTCATAATCACTGTTTTACTTGCCGTGTGAACTCCTCTGTTACCATTTGCTCCTCTGTTTATGACTCATTCATCGTTATGTCTAATTGAAAGAACATGTTTAATTTCTTTTCTAAGTAGGAAAACCATTAAATACTCTGGAGTAAAGTTTTCCAGCAGCACTGGCTGGAATGCTATTTGCTGCATAAGATCCTAAATTTACTAAATAATCCGTACATAAAAAAGAAAAGCCAGACTAAAGGGGAAAAAAGGAAATATGATGGTCAACAGATTTAGTAGCATGTGTCATTTCAGTAATTCTTAAACATCTTAAGATGCTAATTTTTCCCTTGTTTTCCAAAATTAACTAAATAAAAAAAGAAAATTAATTAATAGTAAAGTGTTTATTTTGAAGGAAACTGGCAACATGATCTAAATCTTGCATTTGTCATTACAAGACAGAACAGTGAGAAAGAAATGATCAATAGAATGATGGATCCGGCGACATGCTTACCAACAGTGAACCTCCCATGAAGGACCGAGTCCAGAGTGATCTCATCCTCCCCCAGAGCATCGATGGTCACGCCAGAGAAAGGCAGCAGGCTGCTGGTGACTTGGGCAGTCAGGTCATGCATTGTTCACTGTGTAAAAACATACAAACAAAAACAACACAGAAAACATGTTTATTTACTCTTCACTAGTATGCCCTGCAAAATACTGTAAAATTACTACTATAGTTATGATCAAAAATATATTTTTTTTTGACCAATAACATTCTGTCTGACACTTGTTCACGAATGAAACATCAACACGTCAAATTAAAACGATACAGTGGCAGTCTGTGAAAGACTCATTCTGTTCCTACAACTTTAGGATTTATCTACTCTGCCCGGTTTCGGAGTACAAAAGAGGTCTTTCTTTCAGAGCACAGCTGTACCCCCAGTTGTCAGGAAACATGCTGTCAGCAACCTTGCTGGCAACTGGGGCTGAAACTGAGTTTGAATTCTAATCAACAAACATGACGCGCTGCTGCATGTGTGTTAGCAGATGTGTGTTCTTCTGACGGTGAGTTCTGATATGAATGAATGAAAAATACTTTATTTATCCCAGAAGGGAAATTCAATATGGTGCTGCAGTAAAACAGCATTACAATCATTAATCAGACAATCCCCTAAACTGGCCTTGATTATTGATTATTATTCTCTTCAGAAGAACTGATACCACCAACAGACAACAGCAGGTGGATACACACATTTAACAATATTTCAGTTTTTTTATATATCTTTGGAGAAAGAGTACAGAAGCTTAAAGGTTTTCATTTACAGTTTAGGAAATTCCTGATTGTCAAGTTCACCTCAGTAATATTGTTAAAACCTTTTTATACAGATTTGCTAATACAAGTATGCACATGTTTATGCAATTCCACGACCTTGACACAGCACCAGTGTTCCAACGAGATAGTATTATCTATAGATGTATGGTGTACATAGCAGGGCTGTGAGGAACGTTTGGACCCACTACTGCCCTCTGCGACCACCAAGGAAAACACAGCAGATTCAAGTGAACTCCCGCGCAACAAATCTGTCACTGCGCAGCCACATGCCATGACATGAGCTGGAATATGGACACATATGACAATCGCAAACAAAACAAGACTAATCCACGCAATTAAAAGCGTTTCAACACAGACTACTGAAGGAGGCAAATACGTTACAGCAGGAAGTCGACCGATTAAAAGAGTGCCTCTAATTGTACCAAATACAACACCCAGCGCTCACGTGTCAACAACTGCAAAGTTTGTAACGTCTCTACACATTTTAAACTTTCACAACTTCTTAGATGCCATTAATGACACCATAACCCATGGCGGAACGTAGGAGACAAAACATTATATGTATTTAAACGGAAAATAAGCGGCTAATGCTATCTGGTTCGTTAGCGTCTGCAGAGCAAAGATTAGCTTCTTAAGCTGCCCTTGTCAACGTTGAGCTAACCTGGCACAATGTAAACAAACTATCGATGGCTTTTTGGTACAGTGTAATGCATAGCAGTGCTAAACACGGAACACAGCGCCAACAAATAAAAAATATACCAACGTTATTTAGAACTGGACAATGACTAGTAGCTTTCTTACACTTTTCGCTCAGCTACATTAGCAGGCTACCCAGTTAGCTTGCAAGGTCACGTCGGGTTACAGTTTATTCGATTTCCCCGTTAAAGTTAAGCTAGCTAGCCTAACGTTAGCTAAATGTATACGGGGGTATTTGGGTCATAGCGGTTAACAAGTATTTCAAATTAGATTGTTAAATTCGTGACATAACAAACAGAGTGCAAAGCTGAGTAACATTTTACCTTTAAATTATTTTAATAACTAGGTAAAAGCAAAGTGCGGGTGGCTAGCTAGACTAGCCCGGGCTACACCGCTACTTTCGCTAACGCAGCTAACTTGGAGCATAGTCTGCCGTAGGTACCCAACTAACATTACGTTTGTTTATTTCAAGCTGGCAACCCTAAGTAACATTTTATCAGTCGTAACATCGTAGTACCATCTTTAGGTCGTCAGCCACGACTCTTGTCTTTTCTTGAATGTTAGAATTTAGCTTGACAAATGCAATTTGGTGATCTAGCTAGAACAGTTCAAACGTTACGCCAGGCGACCCACAATTAGCTTGTAGCTTCTGACAACGCCACAGCGCAGTCAATCCCCCTCGGGTACAAATAACGCTCTTACTGTAAATCTTCTTGGGGATTTATCCAGCATACGCGAATTTAGTGAGCTGGGTTAGCCCCGTTAGCTCTCTCTCCCTCTCCTTGTTGCGCTGGAAAACGTGATGCAATGTGCCGCTAGCTGCTACCAACGTTACACTACCTGTCCGAGGATGTCGACGGCTTTATCAGAGCCACGATTGTTGTGTTTTTCTTGACGAGTCTCCCGATTACTTCCTTCCTCTGTCATAATCCGCTCCTTGTTAAAGTACTACTCATACGGATAGCCCTCTGGTAGCTTCAACTGATTGACAAGCGCGAAAGGCTCCTCTGACTTCAGGCTTCCACAACGCGCAGCGCCATTTCCACAGTGTGAAAGTGCTCCATGCTGCTCTTCTTCGCCCTCATTGGTTCTGGCGGCGCACATACGGCCGAGGACCGCTACTGCCCCCCTGCGGACGGGCGGAGTCTCTGCTACAACATTACAATTATTATTCAGCTGTAAACGTGTGTCACACCTGCTTCTGTCCATGCTATTTATTAGCTCTGTGACCCAAATCTATGCAAAACACAGGAGAGGCTCAGATTGCAGTCTGATGATCTGGAGTACCATCATCAACACTGTTGCACAACTAGCTAGTGTAGTGGACTTTATTTAGGTAATCACATCATATCCTATGTCTCTTACCTACAAGGCCTACAACATCAGTGGTTTGCAATCCAGATCTGTGAGAAGACAGTCAAAAATCTTTGAATAAAAAAGCATTCTTACTGAAACTGTTTCTGATCCGTTTGTGCAACAGCTGTGAATCTCCACTAGACATACACATTTAAAAATAGCAGCATCTTGCATCTAGTCTGTACTTCCTGAGTCTGAAATCACAGCATAAGAAGCTTTTATTGCTTTGCAACTTCCTATGCGGTAATATAAAGTGACATTAAGTTAACCTCATACAGGAGGAGGCTCTAAGCTGCATGAGAACAGCCCTGTAGTGGCGATCCACCCTCAACAGTTTGTTCTCACATCACACTACGTCTCAACATGTTTTGTCGGTCGTGTCATGTGTCAGCTTTTCACAGATCAGAGATAGGAATAATCTCTCTGTTAGCAAAGGTCAGAGGCTACAGATCTCAGCAGCCACAGAGCTGAGGAGGGCTGCTGGTGGTGGTGGTGGTGGTGAAGCTGGTGTGAATAAGGGGCCCACCTTTACTTCCCCATCTACAGTTCCTTAAAGGTGGTCCGCTGAAGAACGGAGGCGAGTTTGTTAGTTAGGACTTTGGTTCTTTATTAGTGCATTTAGTAGCCTTGGTGAGAAATTCTGATCGCTCACATATTCAACATGTATTTGCTTTATTTAAATCGACGCATTTCTCAAGCAGTGAAGTCACAGTTAGAGTAAAGGTTAAATGAATGGATACACGTTTAAAAAGTAATATTAACACCATGTTTGGAAAAAACAAACAAGGACATGAATAAACTGGGGAGGAAGCAAAGTTAGACAAATCAAAAATATTCCAGTCAGGCCTGCGGTACAGAGGCAGAGAGGAGCTGTGCTGTTATCATGTGTGATGGCCTTGTGCTGGGAGAGAAGCTACCCTCTGGTCTGGTGGTGCTGCAGTTATGTACTTGTGTAGAGCGATCAAAAGCAGGAAGGAAAAGACTGTAAACGACATGCCTTATCTCATTTTTGTCACTCAAGCTGCGCTGCAAGATGCAGATGACCTAACACTGAAGACTTGAAGTTGAACAGAGCTGTTGAACCAGAAACTCTCTTTCATGTCTGGGATGAAAGACTGAGCTTTAAATGAAGCAAAAGATGTGCATAAGCTAATAATATAACAGACTGCAGACAGTACACAGGTGTGGTAATGCTGCAGTGCTAATCAGTGTGTGATTTATTTTCACCTCTCCTCTCGTCACAACTGTATGACCCTGGTTATTTCTGTGGTGACAAGTGAAGCGCACAATGTTTCCATTTGGTCAGTGTTTGCAGTAAGCAGACCTTCAGAAAAAGGCCTATTGGTGAGGTGTCAGTGAAAACTTCTTGCAGCTCTTCTGCAGTCATATTGGGATCTTGCTTTGCCCAGCAGACGTGCCAACCCTGCATCCCAAAAATGTGCTCAAGCTCATGTCTCAATTCCCTTTTGATAGGAACAGCATCATGTAGTAAAAAACATTTTTACTTTTAAAGTGAGATAAAGTCCTTTCACGCAGAGGAACAGGGTTTGTGTCCCCTGTGGGACCATTATTTTTAGACCTGTTCACTCACTGTATGGTTAGGTTCAGGAAAATACTCTGGTTTAGATTTAAATAAAAGCTTTCACCACAGCTTCTTCTTCATTGTCTGGGTTACCGAGGTGACGAGTCCCGTCCCTTCTAACATATGACTGGCAGGCTGAAAAGGAGCCACAGTTGGAAAACAAACAAAAAAAAATGGCAAAGATATGTTGATTGGAAACACATTGGCGATATGTCATGGGGAATTTAAACAGGGAGAAAATATGCTTCCCTAAAACTGTAACTGAGAATGGATTTATGGATGTTGTACACGTGGCAAAACTGAAAATAAAGCTGAGTTGATTTGAACTGAGTTGTATACGAGTAAGTCGTTTTTGGGAGAATGGGCTTGAAGTGCAGCTTTAACTGAAGGGTTTTAAAGACAAGCACAGTTTTAATGTCTGTCGGGGGATATATGGACTTTTTTTTTCACTTTAACAAAATACATCATGCTACTTTCACAACTGTAAATACAGCCACAGGCGAACCGTTTGCATCCAATTACACAAAAGAGACAAAAATGTAATACTTTCACTTAAGCATCTTTATACACACACGCACGCACGCACACTGTCTGTAATGATACAAAATGATTTGGAACTAAATGTACAGACTGACAAGATTTCTTTCATGATGTAAAACAGGGCCACAATAAAACATTTTTGGCTCAGTATTACAACTGTGATGGCAAAATGTGAGGAAGGGTCAGTTTTTTTTTATTTGGCATTATCCATCCCTTAGTGTGTAAAAACTGTAACAAAAACAGTGCAAAATTTTTAAAAAAAGAAAAAAAAAGTATTTTTGTAAAACTAGCATAAAAAGAAAATGCAGACAAGAGATTTTAAATAATGTTCAAAGCACAATTTGGTAGTTTACATATTGTCACCAACAAGTTATGAATTAAAGTTAATTGATTAGGTTGTTATTATTATTATTGAATGTCAAAGCCAGCACTTATGGTTTCCAGTTTGCATGCTTGGAGTCCAGAGCGTGCACATACTGTAAATATCATAAAGGAGAGCTTAACCAGTGCTTCGTAATTCATCTTTGTTTGCAAGGCACACAAGTATGGCTGAATTACTATCAACAATCCTTCTTTTTTTTTTTTCTTCTTTCTTTCTTTCTTTTCTTTTTAAATTGCAATAAAAAAATAATTTCATGGAATCCTCTTATTTTACAATTTCCAGTTTTATAACTGATAGGATTGGAGAATAGCATAAGTGTCTAGAATTTCTTCCTCATCTGCCGCTCAATCATCAGATCAAACTCCTGTCTTTCTCTGAAATAAAAGGGGGAAAAAAAAGAACACAGTCATTACACGTATTCACTATTTAGTGTAAAAACAAACGTCATAGTTTTATACACAAAGCCTTTACCTGTTACTTATACATCGTCCTTTTAGGTACTTTTCTTCTGCCTTTTTTACGGAAACTTTGTCTACCCCGGCAATGGCATTGATGATCGCCTGCACACAAGTACAATAATCTTAAACACCTGTACCACTGGATGAACATACAAAAATCACACACATGAGCTCTGATGAAAAGCTCCAGCTCACCTCAGGAAGAAGCACATCCAGAACAAAAGGGACGCGCTCCATGGATTTCACCTCAGCCAGACAAGAGGCCTTGGCCACAGCCGTTGCATAGAGCTCACTCAGGTACCAGTAGACCTGGTCCAACTGCTGGTCGTCCTCCAGGTATATGTTCACCACCCGTCTCCGATTGGCGCTCAAAAAGGAGCGAAGCCATCTGGACTGCTGCTGCCCACGGATCACAGCCTGGAAGGAGAGTTACACAGGAAGGATGGATTTCTTTATTTATTTAGTCAGGGAGTTTTTATAGCGGTGCTTAAAATTCCTATTATTATACTAGAATTATTGATCATGCTTAGTTTTACACGTCTTATTTCATTACATTAAAATCTCAAGTGTAGGTGACGTGTTTTCACTCTCTGACAGATTTGTTTCAGATTTGCACGCTTGGGCACACCCATTAGTCTTGGCAAAGCTGGCTGAGCTCCTGCATGATTTACATTTGTAGGGAGCGAAAAGGAATTTGTAATTATGCAAAAATTAAGGGCAGCTCACTGCTGCTTTGGCCAGAATTACAGCTGTACCATTTTTTAGCTTCTCCAAAGAACATTTTTTTTTCTTTTTTTTTTTGTTACCTGGCTGGCATGTCCGTTTAGTGTTTTGTATATGCTGGAAGGCACATCAAAAGAAAAAGAAGAATAAGGAGTCAATGCCATGAATGAGCATTTACATGCTGAAACTGCAGCGTATGGATGACAGTATCAAAATCATGGATCTGAGCTTCTAGGATTTCATACACAACAAACCTAAGGAACGATCCTGTCCACTTGCAGGGCGGGACTTTCCATACGATTTGGTTTCAAATCTAGAAACATGTCTGAATAACTCCAACATTACAACCTATGATTGTGTCGTGTAAATGGTCACTTATAGAGCACTTGTATCCAAAGCGTTTTACAATGTGTTTCTCATTCACAAACACATTTAGACACCAATGGCCACAGAGCTGCCATGCAAGGTGCTGCCTGCCATTAGGAGCAACTTCGGGTTCAGCGTCTTGTCCAAGGCGACTGTGGATGGGGCGGGGGATCGAACCTGTTGAGAACTGTGTTTAAGCAGAGTAATGGTCCGGCTGCGTCAAGTGGGGAGGGGTGAGTGGAGCAATATGGGGGTATTATTGTAGCGAAACTATTTGTTAATGTGTATGGAGAGTTGTGTGTCTAAATCTCAATCTGTGTGTTTGTAGTGAGATTTGTCAAAAGATTTGTCGAGTTTATTACTTAGTTTTACCAGGAAGCTGACCAACTACCTTCCACGTACAGGTAGGTTGCCCCTACAATCATAGGTTACACGCTAACTGCTACAAGTAATCCTCACTTATGATGTATTGTGTGATATATTTGTTTATTTTTGTAGTTAAGATCCTATCCTTTGCTTTAACATCGGATGTTTTTCATTGTTAATCTGTGTCAGACGGATCTAATGACATTCACTGTGATTCAGTGAAGAATTAAAAGTACTGACTAACCCTTGTGCTGTGACAGTCATAAGCGAAGATGCTGAAAAGTGATATAACCTAAGCAGCTACAGTGGTAATAATGATAGTTTGCATTCATTTAGCGCTTTTCAAGTGACCCGAGGATGCTTTACATATATGAAGAGCACAGGAACAGGACAAGGAGCAGTGCTGTACAGGGGGAAGGATCAGCTATGACCAGTGGCCTTGGTGAACAGGAGGGATCTGAGATTCAAAAGTGTGAAGAAACGAATTCCAGTGACTCATTTAAATCATTGACAATAGTTCAGCATGGACAACTGGGTCAAATTACATGACACGCAGCAGGATGTAATCTGATGACTGGCATCTAGGGGGACTGCCGTTTCCACATGAATCCACAACCACCGGTGACAGTGCTTTTTCAGAGTACACACACTGCTCTGGAAAAGTTACTGCTCGGTGCATCATGTTTTTCTGTGTGGACGCCTTACCAGCATGAATGCAGGATAAATGGTGTTGTGAGAAAGCAGCTGCTAATCTAAGAACTACAACATCAATACAGAAATGGATACAATCATACCAGGAGGTGTCCTTCCACCATGCGCTGCTTGACAATAAAATGTACGAGCTTCTGATTGGCACGGTTGTGGGCAGCATGGGTCCGGTCTGGCAGTAGTCTCTTTGAACTCCTGCTGACTTCCTCCTGCTGTTCACCAAAGCTGTCCTCCTTATGATCGTCACACGGCTCCTCCATCATCGTATCGTTTGCGATAGTTAGTCTCTCTGATTCTGCCTGCGGATATTTTCTCCTCACTGGATAGCCTGGAGAAGTGAAACACCACAAATATAGAGCTCTGTCAGGAAGACTCACATTTTCATAGCTTAGTGTTCTGAAGCCATAATAAAGACAAACTTACTCATGTCATGATCGAAGTACTCGATGAAGGAGCCAGAAAATGAGCCACATGCTACAGAGACACAACATAATTAGTACTGCTACTAATTCAGTGGTATTAAATATTATTTAACCCTCTGTACCTCAAAACCTGCTCTCAGAAATTCTTTTTTTCCCCCCCGAATGCCAAAATTACACCATTTATCATAGCAAAAATTGTTAAAACAGAAAGGATTTAATTATTATTTTTTGGATGGTTCTCAAACTAATCATGTGCGACCTTTAGTTTTGTCAGGAAAAACAATCAAACCTGAGGTAAACATTGGGATATTTCATCATGTTTCATTTAAACATTTGCAAAAAAATAAAATTAATATTTGTCTGCGCCAGATTCCATAAAGAACAAAAATTCTGCACTCCTCAAATTAGAATCCATTAGTGACCAAGAGTGGCATGACAGAATTTAACTACAAAATTTAGCTGAACTACAGGCAGTTCTTACTCGAAGCAGGAAGGAGACACACAGGGAAACAAATATTTACATAGTAAAATTCCCACAGCATGTAGAAGTGCCATTTTTCCCCAGTGCCGGTAACACCTGTGGGCACTTAGAGAAATGTTGTACGTGTTGATCCCAGGCTTCCTCATTGTTTTGTAAAATGAATATCAGGAATAAGAGATTTCACTTTAATTTATTTCTTCTTCTTTATGATTTATGGCATTATAATGTTAGTGTGGTGCACAAAATAGATTTTGGAGTTCTCTCTCTTTCTAGCCATGGTTGTGCTGTTTCCATACAGGTGCAGGAGTTTATACTGCAGCGAAAACTGAGCCCACCGTGGCTAAAACTGTGACAGGAGCAAAAAAAACAAACACTAACAAACTGCAAGGCGTTCAGAGGGCTAAATAAAATGCTTTGTCCGTTTCTGTTAGTCAAAGCACTGAATGAGCAACGCTTACCAATTTTGAATTCGTAGTCTGTTTTGAGATCCAAAGACCACGTGACCGCAGCATCAAAATTTTCTTTGGCTTTACACTGTGACAACCAGAGAGGCAGGCTGTCAATGTGTCAGTGAAACAATGCTTTAAAAACAACCAACTAAGTACCGTGTGAGCAGTTCTTACCACCAGCTCCTCAGCTTCTTCACAGTCAAAAGGCTTCAGGGATTTCAGAGGCACAGCAAACCTTCAAGTGCACAAAAGTACAACTAAAGCAAACTCCACATGGTTTGGTCATTCATGTGTGATGTAAATATCTGGATTTGTGTGGCCATTTTTAATGACATCAGGCAACAAAACAATGAGAGAAGACACCGAATGTTTCTTACCCTTTCTTTTTCTGAAGGTTTGAATACTCAATAAACACAATACTGGCTTTTCTCTGCTTACGGTTCACACTTTTTACCTGCAGAGACAAATAGACATTTTAAACTTTTAGGGTTTTGCCAGCCTTTCATGGTTCACCAACACTTTAAAGTGCAGAATGATAATTCAATTCACATTTCCGCTTGACTTTATACGAGGAAAAACGTCAGCTTCCCCTCGTATGAAGTCCATTTTACTGCTTAAATGCACTTAGTGTTTATCATCGCTGAAATGTTTCATCAACTAATGAATATAAGTTGTATGATAGAAAACTCACAGACAGCAGCTTTGCAAAACAGGTGTTTAAGTGATTAAATCCTCAGCTCAAGCATCTCAGATGAGTCAATTTGTTGATTTATTGGCAAAATGAATAATAATAATGAGCTAAAATCTTCCAAGCTGAGAAATTACATATCATTCCATCTATAAACCTTCACAAAAGCATCTTACTATGAGAAGCATCCACACGTTTTTGTACTCACCAATGCAGGCCAGAATGGATAACTTCTAAACTTGTGCCACACAAACACACCTTCTCTAATGGACGGGAGCTCTGAAAGACACAACATAAATAAAATAATCACCGTAAAGTACACAACAAGCACACACAATTCAACCATTTGCCCTCAGCCACTGGAGTTTCTCTCACTTTTATTTGCCTCCATCAAGTAACTTGGGAGCTCTTCCTCCTCATCATCTTCACTTTCTTCATCTTCCTGGAGTGAAATTGAGGGAAGCTGTTCCTCATAGTGACTCAGCTCTATTGACAGATCTGAGGACAGCAAGGAGTCATCTATTTTGGGGAGGGGTTCACAAAGATAACACAGAATTAGAGCAGACTATTTAGCTCACCGGAATTATTTAGAAATGTTTGCGGTTCGACCAGACCTAGTAGCTATCTGAGCACAGGTGAAACCACACAGAGCAGAACACATTTAAGACTAATTCTGCAAAAATAGCAGCTACATACAGTTTTGCTTTGGACTGTGAGCAGGGATGACCTCCTACAATAAACAGTCTGAGATTTCTTAAGTGTATAATGAGGCAGATGAGAACAAGGCCCTACCTTGCTCCGCTGAATCAGGGAGTTCAAATCGTGGTCTCGAGCGTTCACACCGCTGATTAGCGGTTTCCCCTTTTAAATTGCAAGTGTCATCCTTCCGCGTCCTGCCACGCCGGCGCTTGGCTGGAGAACCGTTGGTTTTGCTGCACATGTGCGATCGTTTGTTTGATGCCCTTTGTCCACCGTTTTGTGGCCGGCCAGCACCACCCCTCTTTGCTCTGCATTGGGATTTTGACTTGGAGCATGATGAGTCTATCTCTGATGTCTACAACGGTACAGAAAGGAGTTACTGAGATGAACAGTGCAGCTTGAGACAATGTTTATCAGTTAAAAAATAAGTAAACATCACACCTCTAGCTGAGTGGTGACTCTCGTGTACTCTAATCCCACTTGTTCTGCTCCATGAGGGGAGTTTAAAATGTTGGACAGGATGTCTGTGGAGGAGCTGTGGACTGGTGTGGAGGTCAGGCAGGCTTCTTGTGTTTGTCCTGGTTTTCTCTTTGCTCTTTCTGGAGTCGATGGTAAGGAACTGATACTGGATGGGCTGACAGGGGCAAAATCCCCGCCTGGCATGGCATCTGATTCCTCTGCAGCCGGCGATGACACAGCATCCGACATCTTCCTGGGCTTTCTTTTTCTTGTTTTTTGAGGTCTACCTGAAAAAATCATTTGCAGCCATATTACCACTGTCTTCTGGAGTCACCTTGTGTGTCTGAATAACCTAAATGTCGTTGAGTCTTGAAAGCATTTGAACTGATCACAAACTTCAGACAGTGAAATGAAGGCATGACTGCTTACCTTCCATTACTGCATCTATAAGATGTTCTTCAAGGCGCCAGGGCTGACACACAGGGAACAGGTTTGGCAGCTGTATGGTTGGGAAAAAAAAGAACAAGAGCACTGCAGTGATCCTCCTCAAGCACCCAGCACCCCTTGGATCCTACTAAACAGGCTGTACTTTGGCCTTGGCGCCATCAAACTCCTCTTCCCATTGCATCTATCACATTTTTTGTAAAGACTATTGTCGCTATGACAGAAGAGGCAGCATTTACGTATTTAAATGTAGATACAGGTGTGCGTGGAGGCTAAACGTTGCAGCGAAAACACTCGTAACCCAAGATGTGCTGCAAGCTAGCAGGGCAGCTGGCCAGAGACGCTATCAGGGAGCTAGCAGACAAGCTGCAACATGACATAACCCATGATAGCTGGTAAACAAACACCCTCAGAACCAGCTTTTTAATTGCTTTTTTTTAAAATCTGAAAACGTGACACTGGGTTTGCACTGTTTCTAAGGAGACTTATGTGTCATTAACAGCTAACAGCCGTTATTTAGCGCTACCTTCATAGTCACAGGGAACTTTAGCCGCACCTAGCCAAAACAATGCAACCATTCGCCCCCCAAAAACCTGGAGATTTAAACCATTAAAGCGACCGACTAGCTCTGTCTGAGGCAAAAACAAATGAGGGAATTACCCACAACGAGCCACTAACCTTAACAATCGCACAAATCGAGCCGTTTGTTGGGATAGTTAGCGTCCAGCTTCGAGCATCGTCGTGTTTGTGCGCATCCACTGCTACACGAAGCTAGCTAATTAAAAAAAAAGAGGAATTATTAAACATTTATAGCGAAAGTAACACGTCGTGCAGACTATTCCTGCTTTAACTTTGGGTGTTTGTTGTCACTCGTGGGTTGGGAACCTTCATTAGAGATGTAACGCCCCCCACTGGACCGGAGTGCGCTGCTTCCTCAAACATGACTGACGGCAGGTTGATGTTCACTCATCCACCGTGTACCAGGTGGTGTGAAGCAGATCTGCTGCGAGCACGACACACACAGGATACAGATTTGTTTTTTTGTTTTTTTTTTAAACATTTTTGATCAACGATATCATACCACTACACAACTCCCCCCTCCACCCAAACCCTATAGAGTTTTGCACTATTAAAAAAAACAACAAAAAATAATAAATGTCAGTTTGCTGCAGCTCCTCCATTTCAACATGTTCTCAGTCTCTTCTGTGGATTTCATTCAATGCACTGCACGTTTTGCATCATACACTATCACATTTTCACAATATCAAAGTGACATATATATATATATATATATTTCCATGTATTTTTTGGGGGGGAATTTTATAATATATGTGCATACATTCATTCAGCAGCGTACATAATGCATAGATCTGACAGCAGAAGAATTAATGAAGTAAACTAATACAATAGCAAGTAAGTACGGAAGCCCTAAGAGGACATGTTTTCCGTAAATAAGGACATAACAGGTTGACTAAAAAAGTCTCATATCCGACCCCATCCCCCCCACGAAGACCCAATCTAAAACCTATACTGTGGACTCTAGGAAGTGGTCTGTGGTGCTAAGTCTGTATTTGCAAGGTACAGCATAAGGGGTTGCCATATTTTTTTTAATTAAGATGTTTCTAATTCTTTCCAAATGCAGAGTATTAGTTCTACCCTCAAGCCACATCTTAGATGATGACACATTGGTACTCTTCATTCATGTGAGAATCTGTTTTTTTTGTTATTATGAGACCGTATGAGATCAAACACTGCTGTGTTTTACTTCATGTCTTAAAGGTTTCAGATAACCCCAAGAATAATGAGTACAGGGTCTGGCTGAATCACAGTCCCCATGACCTCAGGCGTTGGTGTTAAAAATAACAATCCAGAAAGAGTAAATCCTGTAACAAATATTTTTAACATGTTGTCTATTGCTGTGCAGAATTAAAACTGCAAGTCCAAGTCATTTGTGTTCTCCGTTAAAGAGCCCAGATACTGATACTATAACTGCCTTTCTCGCTTTTTCTTCTGCATATTTTTAAAAATAACATTGTACCAGCTTTTGCTATTTTTGTCTTCATGTTGATGCCATTCAGTACCCAAGTGCAGAAACCAAGCAAAACTGTCTCCTCAAGTTAATGAACTCATCTTTCATGCATAACCCCATGTCTATTGATAATGGTTTAACATGCCCTACTTTTATTTTATTTTTTTTGCCAGTATTCGGCAAACTATATCGACACTTTATCAGAAATACATCCAATATATTGATTTTAAATTCGACACCTTGATGCTTAGTTTCTTACAAAAACCATCTGTAGGCTTCTATGCCTTCACACATACAGTCGTCCTCAAATTCATTCATATCTTCCATTAAAGAAAAGACACAATTCACAATAGTCACTCAAAAAACTAAAAACTGACAAAAGTAATAATGAATAAAAATTATAATTTGGTGAAATAAGACATTGCTTTTGAATTGTGGTTGAAAAGAATAATTAAAAAAACAACAAAAAAAAAAAAATAATAATAATCTGTCCCAGACAAATTAGAGCACTTTGCTGATGAGCAGTGGACCAAAATCAAAATAGCTGTCAACAGGTGCAGAAGTCTGATTGAGAGTTACAGAAAACACTGGATTGCAGTGATTGGCTCAAAGAGCTGTTCAACAAAATATTAGTTTACGGGTCCCATCATGCTTGTTTGTTTGTTTTTTGGGTTTTTTTTTCTTTTCCAAATATTTCTGTTGAACCACAATTCAAAAGCAACATCATCTTTTTCATTAAAGTTTTATTTATTACTTTATTACTACTTTATTATTACTTTTGTCAATTTCAACTTATTTCAATGACGGCTGTTTTTTTCTTTCTTTAATATGAGGGTATGAATAAATTTGAGGACGACTGTATTTTATCATAACACACTCGTACAATTTATGCTGTGGTTTTGTCTTTCCTACTGTTTCATGACAATATGTCTTTTCTCTTAAAGTGTTTCAGAGCTGACACATTGTTCTGTTAAAGTGTCCCAGGATCCTGAAACTGAAGCAGCAAAATGGGATTCATCCTCTCATTAATGTCATTGAAATCACTGTAGGTAAACTTCAGCTACAGGAGATCTTTTCTTTCAGTGGCCATCAAACTGTTTTACTTCCTCTTTCTGCAGGAAGGACACATAAACACTGGACACTGATATCTGAATAATAATATCATTTGCAATATGACTTTTCCCAGTCGTTTGTTCGTTATCAATTCAGTATCATGTGCAATATTTACTCGGTCTAATGACTCTGTCAGTCAGTGCAATGAGCAATATGTCATTTTTCTTGCGTAATATTATTTGACTACCTCAGAGTCATTTCCAGTATTACTTCTCTAGTCTTATTTTAACTTTTTGTTTTTGGGTTTTTTAAACAACTTCGTTTTCAGTAATGTATCACACTTGCCTCATGTATTCTTATGTTGTTTAATTCTGTTTTCTGAGCAATATCTGGCACAAGAACTTCCTTTACGATAAATAGTTCTGTCAAATCACTTCATGTCTATTTCAGTGAAGATCTGCTGCTTCCTCAGTGCAGTGTGCATTTCTGTGCAGATTTAAAACAGACATTAGCATATCATGTCCGGCACACTCCTGTTCACTGAGCTGCAGTCTTGTTCCTGCAGTAATACCTCCACGGCAGCAGCAGAGTGCACTGTGTAACCACTTGTCAGCGGCTCTCAGTTCCTGAAAACACTTGAGTGACTTCATGTAGGGGTGTCTCCTTCTCTACAGATGCAGAGAGATTACTGCTCATGCACTGATATTTACACTCTCCAAAAAGAGTTGGATCTTTTTTCCCCCCTTAGCACACCACATACACATGATTTGTTTAAATGGCTGGATTTTCTTTTCTCATTTATTTTTTGACTGACAGAGATGTTTCCATTTCTAAACAGGGAAGTTGGTCAAGACAAAAAGAGGTTACAACATTTAGTTTGACAGAATCAGAGCAGAGTTATTCAACATTTCTGTGTAACCTTTTTGTTCAGCTCCATCCCTGAAAGCCTTTTACCTCATCAGCAGCCTGCTTCATTATGAACAGAGGGATCCATGGCTGTAACCAGGAATTTAGAAATTCTGAGGTCAAGTTCAAAGCAAAAAGAAAGTCTGTGAAATATGTGAACCGTTAAAAATGTTTTAATTGAAATTGTTTAGTTCTGTGTAATTAAAGTATTCTCAAATCTCAAATCTAATGAGAATATAGACAGAAAATTATTATTATATTTTTTCTCTTCTAGTCCATCTAAAAATGCCAGACCCAGTCATAAACACCTGTAAAGTCCTGAGTGCTTTAGTACAGTCATGAACGTGCCTCTGTCTGACACTACATAGGTGTGCAGCTTATCTTACATCCACACTCTCATAAATCCTGGAATCTAAAAACTCTCCCTCGCTTCACACACGCAAGAGTCCACCTGCCCCTCAGCTGGAACCTCTGGATTGGCCTGAGGTGGAAGAGGGGCAGGTTGGCCCCGCCCCTCATCCAGATGTGCTCCTCGCTCGTGCCTCTTCAGTCCACTGCTGGCTTCGGCACAGTGCGCAGCCTCGGGAAGTCAACAGGAGGATAAACGGACGGCAACACTTCAAGTATAAACAACGAGGAACTGCCTCCTGTAGCTGCGGCCGGATCTTTTTTTTACTCGGTCTAATGAGTCTGTCGGTAACCCGCGAAACCTGAGCGGTGTGTCGGAGCTGCCCGCCCCTCCTCCCCTCCCCGGAGGGGTCGCTTTCACCTGGGCAGGCTGAGCCGCAGAGCTGATGGAGAGAGGCAGGGCAGCGCGCACAGCTCCATCCACACTCTGAGGACAGGGAGCGGTCTGATTTCACACGACCTGCTTGTTTTTCAAAGAAGAGATTCGAGGTTTATTTTTATTTTCTTGTAGACGCATTGGAAAAAAACCATTTGGGATTTTTTTTAATTTTAATTTTTGAAAGGGAATGGGGATGTAACCGGTGTCCTCATGCATCTGGAAGTGGCGTGAGGTTCCCTCCAGCCTGAGAAGAGCAAACTGCAGGGGCGTGTGGTTAATTGAAATCGACCCGGTGGTCTCTTTTTTTGAATGTGAAGAAGCAGCAGCAGAGGTTTCTTTCTCCTCTCCTCCTCCTCCTCCTCCTCATCCTCCCCCCTTTTCCTCTCACCTCCAACATGACTTCACTGTCGGGGACTAAGGAGAGGTCTGTGAGCAGCCGGAGCAGAAAATATGGGGTAGGTTATTCATTCCTGCAGCCACAGACACTCCTCTGTTAGAAGAAACATCCAAACTTATCATCCATTCAGTGCTGCATGTGCTTCATCTCACACCCTGTTTTTTTTATTTCATAGGAAACTAGTTTGCTCTTCTTTCCTGGGTAAATATGAAACTGATCTGTTCCTGCTGTTGATTCTTTGTGAACATCACACTTCACGCATCACTGCTTATGGTGTCACAACAAGGGCATGCATTTCCGCCACGTCTTTTAATTATCGCAGAGGATGGAGCAGTTAAACACACTCACACCTGTGCCTACCACCTACAGCCCTAATTAGCATTAATTTATAAGGCAGGGTTCGGTCACATTGCACCCACCTCTTCGCTTGCAGATGATAGAGCGTTCCCACCTATCAGCCTGCTTGCTGCTGCTTTATTACAGCCCTTGTGAGGGATCACAGTAGTGCCCAACCTCTCCAGTCAACACCACATCAATGGGTCTGTTCTCTGGCTGGATTTACCCAGCCGCAAAAGATCAAATTCTCGACTCCTTGCGGCTCATTTGATGTTCCCGTGTGGCTGAATAGAACAAAGTACCAAAGGTCTACGAGGACTTGATCCTATTTAGTGCTTAATGGAACCATCCAATATGTTGACTGCTTTGACTTTGGTTGTTGAACCGTTGCAGTAAATGTTTAATACCGCGTAAATGTTGGAAGGCTTTTAACTGAATGTCCATTTGATTTAATGCCCTAATGTTAGGTTGGCTCCCTGTTGCCTGGGTGGGTTATTTGCATCATGGCATACTGTAACTGTCTGCTGTAAGAATAGACACTGGAGCTCTGGTTCAGGTTCAGCCAGGATCATTTGTTGCTGATTCTCTCTCGTGAATCACACAAATATTGGAGGATTTGTTGAATTCATCTCAACTGGGAAAACAGGCAAAATGCAAATATATACAGGCTGTGTGCTCGCTCCCCCTCCTCAGGATTTTGTTCTCGTTCCAGTGCAACCTGTTGGGCAGACTTATCAGAGTACATACTCACACAACTCTTCCATGATGTAGCCGATTATGATTTACCTGCCATGACATGTTTAGTAAACTTTTCAAAAACCTTTCCATAGATGCCGGACACCTCCCCGACCAAATCTGCCTCCATTTTCCCGGACACGTGGTACCGAAAGGCGTACGAGGAAAACACTCGCTCCGGCACTCGTCCCGCCCCAGAGGGTGCCGGCTCCATGCCAAGCTCCACGGGCACCCCGTCCCCAGGATCAGGGATCTCCTCACCGGGGTCCTTCTCTGGATCACCAGGGACCATCTCCCCAGGGATTGGGACAGGATCACCGGGCTCTCTAGGTGGCTCCCCGGGGTTTGGGACGGGCTCGCCGGCCTCAGGCAGCGGAAGCTCCCCCGGTAGCGAAAGAGGGATATGGTGCGAGAACTGCAACGCTCGGCTGACAGAGTTGAAGCGACAGGCGCTGAAACTGCTCATCCCCGGACCTTACTCCAGCAAGGTAAAAATCACACATTGATTTCTTGCCCTTGTGTCTCATGATGTGAACGAGTGTGTTTAGGAGTCATGTAAGCTTTTGTACCACCTGACCTGCCATCCAGCGGTGAGTTAGTTTTGCTCAGTGGCATCCAAAAATAACGTGTTCCTTCATTAACTGTGGCATTTGGACAGCAACACTTATTAACTCGGTTGCTCAGGAAAGACTCCTAATCATCCCCTTGCTTACTGTGTTGCTGTGTCATCAGAGTTATTGTTGTCATAAATCACGAGGATGCCCTAATTTGTCCAACCCCCATTTGACCAGCTGTGAAAAAGAGCAGGAACTGAACAGGATAATTATTGTATCCGAAGCTGTTAATCAATTACAAGAAGGAGTGTCAAAAACAAAATGATAAACATCGATGAGACATTTTTGATTTTTGTCTTACAGTTTCCCATTTTACCTGATTGATCATTATATCACCAAAAAATCAATGAGCTCACTTTATTCTATATTGCTTTTCTCCTTTTGAGGGAATTAACATGATGGATTACTGACAGACATTGACCTCTTAGAGCAGCTATTAATCCATATGGACTGCTGCCGTTTCTAATTATCTTTGACAGGTGATTCCTTTTTTTTTTCTTTTCTTTGGGGAATCTATCTAATCAGTTTTATTTCTATTTGTCCAGTGAGTCTCAATATGAAGGATGTGAGTGCTGCAAGCTGATTCAGGAAGTCAGATCAAATCATGCACTATCATGTATCTCATATTTCTTATTATCTCATCACTTACTGGGTTTATGCTTTTTAACCTATAATTAATCAGTGAAATAAACCTGTGCTAGCAACATCTAACGTGCTCTTTTCAACTAAAAGCAGAGCCATTTGTTGTCACTAAAGAAGTGTTTCTTTCTGGGTTTTGACTTCACATTATTGAAACAAATAGGATTAATTTTCAAGACTTGTTTGGTTCATGGAGAGAGTGGCCATGCACATGTTGTATTAATGATGAAAAAAAAACTTATTGAAAATCCTGGCAGGGTTTTTGACTCTTTTTCAAACACGTTGCCTTCAGGTCTAATGTCCTGCTGCTGGAGCTGACTGAGTTTTAGTTATAAATACAGTGGTCCACACATCAGCCTTTGAGTTAATTGGTAATAAATAAACAGACATTACGCACCATGGGGCTGATAAAGTGCAGCTATCGAGACAGAGTCAGATATAAGACCGTAGTGTGGCATTGAGGCTGACTGTGCAGAGACAGAGGTGGAGTCACGGGATTCTTATTAGCTCGAGAGCATGAACAGTTGGAAATTGTTAGGAGCAGTGGGGGTTAGTTGGGACTGTTGGTTGGCAGACCACTAATTAAAGCGTTATTTGTGAGGTTTGGTTTAGTTCAGGCTGATTAAGGCTTTCCCGTTGTGGTTAACTTTATTGCAGTGTAGACTAAGTGTAGGCACATCATACAGTGTTGTAGCTGGTGTAGGTGTAAATCTTAATCTTAAATCTATCTGCAACTAATATAGAAGAGGATGATATCTAAGTATAACCAAACTTTGTATGAAAACTATGGTCTGCCAGCTCAAAACATTCACAAAGGTCATTAAAGTCCAAGATCCCTCTCATGGCTCAAGGCTTTGTCAATGAAAAATAGAGATTTTATTGAATTTTTCTCCGCGCGCCCGACTGACTCAAACTCTGAAGTATGAGCGAGGAAATGGACTGGGACACTGGGAGAATCTTGTGGCCTCTGTACACGTACCCTGTGCATGCAGCACATTGAATATAGTCATAGTCATTTCACACTTATGAGAGCAAACATGTGCCTCTGGCATGTGTTCTTAAATGTGTTATTTTGTGTCTGTGCTTCTAATGAAGTTTTCCCTGAGTGGACTGACTCAGGGTGTGTTTGTGGCTCCAGACTGCAGTGGTTCTTGTATGAATTAATTACATTGGCTGTTTTTGCTCGTGTTTGGACATTTCTTCCTTTGATATGGGCTTGTTTGAACCTTGGTTAGACACAAGCGATGCTTCACAGAAACTAATATCAGTAAAATTCATATAACTGTATGTTTCATGGCGTAGGGGAATGGTTTAACTCATAAGGAATTTAAACTATAGTACAAGATGTGTCTCTGACTTAAACCTGTTTTCACTAACAGGCATTCTGCAGGTTATACAGACAGCCTAATTGAAAGCTGCCCTGTACTGCCCTTATTTTGTGTTGTTGGCCACTGACCAGCTCCACTGCAGGAGCAGAGGTTAGTTTCCTTGCTATAAAAATACCTCTGGGTCATTACTGAAGAATTGCACAGTTCAGTTATTTTAGCCAGTTAGAATTTCCTGGCTGTTTCTTTTTCTTTTTCTTTTTTTTTTAACCTCGTCCTCTTATTACAGGACTGAAGTGACCCATGCAGGTGTTCTGTGTCACAGAAAAGTTGAACTCCTCGGTGAAGCAATGTGACTTAATAATCCTTCTCCTTCACCAAATGTGCTGGAGCAGCAGTTCAGCTTTTGTGTGTGTGTGTGTGTGTGTGTGTGTGTGTGTGCGTGTGTGTATGTGTGTGTGAGTGTGTGTGTGTGTGTGTGTGTTCCTGGTGTACTGTCAGCATGAGACCCCATGTTATTCCCACAGGACACAGGACATATGTGACCCCACACAGCTAGAATAAAAACACACATCCACTCACGTATACACACACACACACACACACACACACCTACACTCACACCTACACACACACACACACACACACACACACACCAAAACAAAACTCTCTTTGTCTTTGGATTTGAATACACGACAAGTCATGCTTGACCCGTGCTAGCCACACACACCTACACACACACACACACACACACACACACATTCATGTTTCTATTGTTTCAAAGTACATCACATTTGCTCGCATTAATAACCATAACCACTACTTGCCAAACCTAAACCCTCTTTTTTTTTTTGAACATCAAATCAATTCTCCACCGTGAAATTTAGTGATCTACGTTATTGGGACTGGCTTTTTGTATCCAAAAGGGACAAAATAAAAAGAAACATGTGACTATGTAAACACATTTGTCTCCACAACATTAGTAATACAAGTGCACACACACACACACACATTCTCGCACTGGGCTGTTAATAGTATGCTAATGATGACCTTCACCGCTCTTACCTTTTGAATATTTTGCTGTTTGCATGTCTGCAGTTCAGTGTGAGTGCGTGCGTGATTGTGCACAAACACACACACACACACACACACACACACACACACACAAACACGCCTCCATGTTTGTCATTATGCTTAAATGTCAAGATATTATATTGTAGCAGACAAACCACCGTTTGAAGGCTTTTCCACTTGTAGACTGTAAAAGCTACTATTAGTCTGTGTAAACAAAGAGCTTTGTCTGTGCATTTTTTTTTTTTGTCAATTACATTGAACACGGCACATTAATGCATTTAGTCATTCAAGAACCGCCTGCTCCAGGAGTCACGGCGGTTCACAGATGAAGAGATAGAAGAGAGACGAAGATCGACTGGAGGAGTAACTGACTGCAGACATGGAGGCAAAAGGCTTCACTGTATGTAGCGTGTGTCTCCTTCCTGATGTGACTTAGATGTTGCCCTCCAATTAAACTTAATTCCATTTCAGTTCATTTTGCCCCATATTTTTATTGCTCCTGTTGTCAGCTGGATGAGAGGGAGAAAGAGAGAGGGGCAGGCAGGTCATATTGCCGGGGGCAGAGTGGGCGGGAGTGTGGGGCAAAAAAGTGCTCTGTTGAGGGATTAGAATGAGCATGTATGTTTTCAGGTTTAGACACACACACACACACACACACACGCACACTTTTAACTACAGGACTCCAAAGCACATCTGGCTACACAGCTGTACTCACTTAAGGCCTCGGTCGCTGCTCTACTGGTGTGTACATGCATGTGTCTGTCGGTGTCTGTGTGTTCATCCCTTATGTCCACGCCCAAATCATAAATGGATGGAGGGCTGATGTGCTTTTGGTTCGTCCAGTTCAGCTCAGGAAAGTGGGTCACTCGGTGCGTTTTATTCACCAGCAAAGTGTCTGTTTCAGATCAACTGAAAGTCAAAACCACCCATGTTTATAAAGCGAAACATATACAGTTCCACTTCAGACATAAAAATAAAGCCAAAGAAGGACATGTTTGGGAGTATATTCACTCCCTGAGGACCTCCTACTGGCAACTTGAGATTTATTGAGATTGCTTTCATCTGCACTTTTTTAGTCGACGTGAACATGGTACATGAAGGACAGAGTACTTCACTGTTGGACTTCCTTCTGGATATATTTATCATATATGCACTTTAAGTGTTTATATTAGCAGACCCATTGATGTGTCTGCCGAGATGTGAGTGCAGATTAAACAGCTGTCAGACGTTTATGCTGCACATAGATTTAATGCACGTTACCAAGGCTGGGATCATTTACAGTTACAATGTGGTGACACTGGAAAAGTAAATCTCTCGATGGTTCTCACATGCAGTTTTCTTCAGTTTCCTTGTTCATGCCAAAGTTCCCATAAACTCAACCAGTTCTTTAGAAAGTGCAAGCCAAGAGTTATTGCCAAACATTATTAGTTTCTCTGCTTACCTTTGCAACGAACCAGCTTCTTTGTCTGCTTCTCAAACTATTTGTTCTTATATGGAAAAATTAACACCATAACATCATACCAATCCTGAGTAATTCTTGCTCTACATGACGTTTGTGATGTGATAGTATTGATATTGTAGCAAAGTTTAGGTATGTCAGGATGTTGTTGGTAAAATGGAGCAGGTGGTTGCAGTGACAGCAGTAACGCAGGTGTTGTACCAGACCATGGTGGTGACGACAAAGCTTAACCGTAAGGCAAAGCTCTTAATTTTTTTCCAATCTGTTTCAACTCTCACCAATGGTCATGAGCTCTGGATAGGGACAGAACGAATCAGATCGTGGATACAAGTGGTTAAAGTCTGTGAGGTGCCTACACTCAGTCTCGGAGATAGGAT